CCTATATTTATGAGTGTTCCTATATTTATGAGTGTTCCTATATTTATGAGTGTTCCTATATTTATGAGTGTTCCTATATTTATGAGTGTTCTTATATTTATGAGTGTTTCTATATTTATGAGTGTTCCTATATTTCATTGCATTTTCGTTCTCACATGGAAAGCCCACATTTCAAAATATTAATGAAAAAATCAGGAAAAAGCTGGAATTATGTTTAGTTAAGATTTTTTCTTTTACCCTATCATAGGGATCCTTGAATATCCTTTCATTTTCTTCCCTATGTTTCGTTCTTTTCTTTCCTTTTTCTTTCTTATTTCTGTTCTTATCTTTTCTTTTCTTTCTTTATCTTTCTTTCATATAATTATTCCCTTTCTTTTCCTTTCTTAGGACAATTCATATGTTTATTTGCCTTTCCTTTCCTTTCTTAAGTTCCTTTCTATTCTTTCCTTTCTTTACTATTTTAAGACATTTTGTTAATATGAAAACTTCAGTGATGCTTTATAGTTCTTTTATTTATCCAAATATTATTTATGGAATTGAGGTCAAAGGGGAAGTAATTACATACATACACATTACATACATAATTTTGCGTCATACCGAACTCTTATCTTGAATTCCCAAAGAATTATAGCTAGATGTACAACTTTTCAGTTTTTTAGAGCACATTTACCCCTCTATTTCACAAACTTAAAATTTCTTTATGCTCTTAAATTTATTTCCGATATTTTTTACAACCGAGCAACTCACACTCTAAGTGGTTATTTTTCGACTGTAAAAATTTACATAATACAAAATCTAAAAATAATGTTTAAATTAGCTATATCAAAGCTACGTACCATGTTAGGAAATTTAAGAATAGGTTATGAAGGGGGCTACCTTGGAATTAGCTTCTCTCGATATTTGCAAAATTAGTTAAAGAAAACAATACAATGCTAAAAAACATTTACTTAAAGAATATATTGCTGAAAGATTTTTTTATCTTATTCAATTAACTTTCTACTTTTTATTAATTTTTAATTTTTTTTATTTTACTCTTCCATTTATTTATTTATTCATTTGATTTTGTCTTTTGTCCAGGTATGCCTGCTACAAGCTGTTGCTTTTTTGGCTATGCCTTCTTCAAATCAATTACATTACTTTACATTGTACTGTTTTGTTTTTGTTTTTTTCTCATTTCGAAGAAAATAAATGTTACTTTGTTTGGTGATTGATTTATTGATTGAATGAACTTAAATTTAAGACTAAGACTAACCATTTTAACTATTATTAGGCCTGTTATTATTTTTATTATTATTATTAATATTTTTATTATTTCCTATGAATGTTATGTTTCACATATTTTGTACTATTGTTAAGGAGGTTAATTAGCGTAATAAGAGAAATCATCTTTATAACCTCCTGTGTATTTGCTTGATTTATTTTTTGTATTGTTTTTGAAATTTGAAAATAAAATATAAATTTGAATGAATGATTGAGTACAGATTTTTAATATTACAAAGGGGCGTAACCAACGCTTTTTAAACTTTTATTCCCCATTTTTGAAATATTCCAAAATATGTCTCATTTCAGCTCCCAAGTTTTTTGTCAAATATGTGTGTGTGGCTGTAAACCTTCGGGTTTAAAGGGTCATCCCGGTCCAACGCTCTCTCTGACGTATCAGTTATCTTATTTTAAAGGGTCATCCAACGCTCTCTCGTACGTATCAGTTATCTTACTTTAAAGGGTCATCCAACGCTCTCTCTGACGTATCAGTTATCTTATTTAAAGGGTCATCCAACGCTCAGTTTTCTTATTATTATTTTTCGTTTTTGATTTGGTTCCTTGTCTGATTGGTGACATTTTTCTTCGTTTTTTTATTTTTAAAACTGGGCATTTGTTTTTCTCTTTGTTTTGTGAACTGTCTAATTTCTTTTTACCATTTTGATGTTTCCTTTTGTCTGTTTGAATGGTTTTATTTTTTATGTAAATTTTTCCTGTTTTTATTTTTTTAAATGCAGTTTTTATTGTGAAATGATTGTCTGTTATGAGCAAATAAATAAAAACAAACGTCGCCACATCAATTACCAACGCCTCCATAATTACCATCATTATCATCGTAATTGTCAACATCATCACTGACCATCATTCTTGTAACTTAAACTAGTTCTCTGTGCTATAGTCACGCATCTAGGAGATTGACGTGGGTTTTAAGCCGACATGAGATCTGATGGGGGCGTGAAGAAAGCCTAAATTGGTGGGGGTGTGGCTCCGTCGGGGTTGGGGGAAACAAAAATCCCGCCATATCCCTGGAAGCTAAGACTATGGATTTGAAAACATTATTTAATCAGATTTAACAGTTCACAATACAATTTCTCCGCAACGAATCATGCTTTATGCTTCCTGGCCCCAGTGGTACAATCCCTGCTAGCCTAACTAACCGGGCATGATACAAACGCCAACGCATACAGCACAATAAAAATCATTCATTTATCAATCAATCAATTTCAATTTTATTTAGAAACTTGTATATTGCAAAAATAAAACCTAATTACTACAATTGGATGGAAAAAAAATAATCATTAATATTAATAAACTTGAATAATGTCTTTTACAAAACAATCATGAAGCACAATTTAAAGAAGCCTTTAATTCTTTAAATTAATTAATTGAATAAGGGATGAGGATTAGACCATTCCAGGCCATAGCCAGGATTGCCAAAAATGGGTCAAGTTGGGTATGGGTATCGCTTAGAGTCACTGACAGCGTCAAGGGAAAGAGATGGTTGGACCGCAGCTTAAGCAGTGTTGGGCGGATACAGATAGATTACTTACTAGATACATTTCGACTGTCTTAAAAATGTGGATCATTTTCGATTTAGGAGGTGCCCTGGGGAGGTGCATATACATCAATCGCACCCCTGCCATTATGTAGCCTTCTATGTTTTTCTTTTTTTGTGAAAGCTTAGATTTCATATTTAAAAAACTGCATCCTATACTGGAATGATTTGGGCCATTTTATTTTAATTATGCAGGAATCCAGATATGTAGCACTGTCCACCATCTTTATCCCACTCCTGCAGACTGTAAAGTAAGCTGTGCGAGGAATATATTCTCCGGGCAAACATTTTGCCAAATATTAGGCCTTGGCCTAATCTTAATATATAAAAATGTATTATGCAGTAATTACGATTCTGCGCATCTATTTTCCTTGCGATTTTCCATGCGGAAAATTTGAGCTGGTGTTTGAAGTATCATCCCATAATTACAAAACTTTGGCCCAGGGCACGTTATATTTACCAAATGTACAATACTAAATCATGTATATTCTGCACTATATTATCATTTACTTCCTCTTTATCATATCAAATCTTCTGGTGTCATTATTTGAACTATGATACACTGTGGTATTAAACTTATTGCAGTGGTGGGGCCCTGCTCTAAGTGAAGGGATTGGAGAAACTAGCCCTTGGCCTAATCAGTGTGTAATTGTTCTTTGAAATTTTCGCTACCCATGCGTACTTATGTTCTTTCATTAGTTTTGGTAAGTTTCCTGGTAGTACTTCCAAAGTTCTTTAGCGACAGCCTTCTTTCCAAGTTTTTTCAATGCGTTACTCATCTTTACAAGGTGATTTACTTCAAAGTTTTGCCTTTCTCTCCATTTAACCAACATTTCCAGACTTGAGTCCACAATGGGTGGTGAAAAGTCCATCTCAATTCTTTCTATTTCATGTTTTTTCAGACCAATGATGCTGCCAAAGGATTTCCAGTCCTTGCCAAGTCTTTCGGCAATAAATAGCATATCAATGTCTGCTAAGTGTCCTAAACAAAGAGGAAAGACATCAATATTGAAACACGCTTTAAGTAGTGGCAGATTCAAATGGGAGATGGTGGTGGGCCTCAGCAAGTTTCTTAAAAAGTGGAGAAAAAAAGGCCAAATTGTAATCAAATTTAGGTCTTGCCATAATTATAAATTCTTTTACCTCAGTTCCAACCATGGTGGGGCTGAGGTGGCCTACACTCTCCATCTTTGAAAGTCCCTTCCTGGGACCCTCTATTTCAAATATTCCTGGATCCACCACTGTCAAGAACATTACAGACTTTACAGTCCCTAGTCCAGCCATGACAGAGGCAACTGGCAGAGTTTGTAGAATGTGCCATGGGGAATACAGCAAAAAGATGATGATGAAGGAAGCATTGAGGAGTGTTGAGGAGTGTTGAGGATTTTGTATCGTTGTATCATTCTTTTGTGAAACACTTACAAAAAAATATAATATACCTCCCATAGTATTTCATCCTTACTTTTTTATTTATTGTTACTTTTTCATTGATCCTTACTTTTTTATTTAAAAAAGTAGAAGAAAGGAACATCAAACAATCTGCTCTGATGGACTGGAATTTCAAGAATAATCACCTACCATCATATTTCTGGTGTCTCTGATGTAACTGTCGTCTAGTATGTACTTTTGTTGAGGTTTGAGAGCCAAAAACATTGTTAGCAAGCTCTGTGAGTCCTTGTTCCTTCAATGCTCTGCACATTATCTCAACTTGATTTGTCTCGTAATTCTGATGATTCCTCCATTCTGTAAGCATATCCATTATTCTCCCTGGCAATCGTCTCTTATCACTACATATTTGTTGGATCCTGTTCCAACTGAGACCCAGTCTGACACCCAGTTGTTTCCACTCTATTCCCATTCCCATGGCGATATGAAGCAGGTGCTTGTCTTCCAGATAACCAAGATGTTCATCTGAAGTGAAAATTGAAGTAGGCTATACAATAAAATACAGTAACTTTGATAAAAAAATATATATATAATGTAAAAATACTAAAAATATAATGTAAAAATACTAAAAATAATACTGTAATAATAATAATACTGTAATAATAATAATAATAATAATAATAATAATAATAATAATAATAATAATAATAATAATAATAACATGAGGCAAAGTCCCCATTAGCAGAAATGGTCCATAGTGAGCTGTCTGATAGTTGAGAGTGAGCTGTCAAATGGTCCAGAGGGAGCTGTTAGCAGCTCCATAAACTTAACTTTAATTGGTTTTAAGAATGTCCATTGGGAGTTAACAGGAGAGTCCTGGCCAGCAACATATAGCCATTGGAATGTAAACAAGAAACCCATTACAATCACTCACTTCATCTCATGGGCTTCAGTGGCAATAAATAATTTAAGAACCCATCGCTATTCAACAAACAAGCAGAATTTATAGCCCGGGTTTTTCCAAAAGCTGGGTGCCATGGACCAGTTCTGTTAATTAACGGCCAAAAATGCAGCATGATTACAATAATAATAATAAAAACATCCAAGCATATACATACTGCTCATTAAAAACAGAAAATTTCATGAGACACAAAATAGTAATAACATCTAACCTGGTGGTGCTGTTTCATTATCACTTGATCCTGCTCCTAGCATTGGAGAGCCTACAAATATATAAGTTGTTAAAAAAATAAAAACAGAATCAAGTGACTAAAATTGATTGCTGTCTATCACATTAAATTTAGATCAGGACAAAATCAATTTATATAAAGTTTTAATAGTGAATTTATTCTAAATCACAGGTGGACATGGGCCACATGGAGTAGCCCAACAACAATTTTGTTGTCACCTCGGAAAAAAATATTTAAAAAAAAATCTGTATATATAGCGAACCATCTTTAGCTAGAAAACCCATTGTTGGTATCAAGCTGATTGTCTGTAAGACTAATAATAAAATGGGATGCTTTTGGATATAAAGCATATAAACTGTGCCTCTTAGTTTATGTTATGTTTGTTTTTGATTTCAAATAAATCAAATCAAAACTGAGCATAAAGCAGTACATGAATGTTGTTAATCAAAAATTTACTTTGGCCCTCTGACCATTTTATCCCTTCATTTCTGGATAAAACTTTGAATACTAAAACACTGATTTCCAAAGAGTAATTAGAAAAACATAATATGACAGTAAAGGACATCAGACACAATAGGCAAGTTAAAATCGAATAACATATATATTACAAATTTGATATACAACAATTAAATGCTGAGATTAATATAAAATTCAAGCTTATTTTCAAGTAAATTTTGTAGTTTATTTTTTTCATTTGGTTGAAGAAATACAATAAGGTATGTTGCAATTTAAGTGGCATATTATACAATAC